GAACACATGCCAATGATTTTATTTCATTCAATTCATGAGGGAACAAATACGATGTTAAAACTGGTCTAAGAATGTGAGAAGCTATATGTACACACGCACACATTTTAATTTCACAAAGGAATATCAGAATATGATTTCTCAATTAGATGGAAAACTGTTACCTTCGGGCCTATCTCTTCCATCGGGCAGAACTTATTTGCATCTCTATTAGACAAAAAAAATCTACAAGTTAACCTTTGCCCCTATAAAGTTGTAAAATAGACCAGTCTACAGAAAGTTAAGCCCAGTAAGTACTGCACTGAAAGGACAGCCAGAAATTTATTTTGCCTGTTTGGAAATTCTGAGTAATTTTTCTGATACCTGTATGCTTAATATGGAAGAAGTGTGTCTATAGTCCTTTCTACACACACCCCGTTGGTGATCTCACCCAGTCTTATGGCTATAAATAACAAACATCAATATTCTGATGACTCCCATATTTACATCCATAGTTCAGATCTTTTTCCTGAACTTTGGACTCATATATCCAACTATGGCACAATACACTTAGAGAGCTAATGGACACTTTAAATTCAACGTCTAAATCTAAACTCTGGGTTTTCTTTTCCACAAAAAAGCCTAATCTACCCATCCCTCATCCCTCAGTAATGGCTGCTCTATCCTTTTAGATGATTAGAAGTTATCGGTACCTTATTGTTCATACTCCATAAACAATCCTTCAGGAAACACTAGTCCATCTCAGAAGATATCAGTATCTAATTACTTCTCATCACCTCCACTGCTACAACCTGTTATATCACTAGGGGTGTTCCTGTGGGAGTGTTGAGCTCCAGGGAGACAATTTTCCTAAATAAAGCAGGGCCTTGACCCATCCAAGGGTACATGAATACTTCTCCAAACCTAAATGTACAAAGCAGCTCTCAAGAGAGACCATTCTACTGAAAAGTTCAAAAAGTGGTGTTATTTCTCTTATTTCTAATGTTATGTAGCTATTTCTAATACCACCAAGAGTATATTTTAAAAAAAAAACCCTTTCTGATTTAAGTATGTTATGAATATGCTTTTATTTTTTAGTTTCCAACTTTTTCTAATCATTACTTAAGTCATAGTAGTCACTGTTCAAAGTAATTGATTTCTATGATGTACATGTCACCCTTCAGGGAACCTGATATGTGCTGATGCTTTAGGCTTAAAAAAAAATTTAAATTTTCTTTTTAGTGAGGAAACACTCTATATTAGTTTGCTAGGGCTGCCATAATAAGGTACCACAGACTGGGTGGCATAAACGACCGAAATTTATTTTCTCACCATTCCGGAGGCTGGAAGTCCAAGATCAAGGTATTATCAGGATTGGATTCTTTTGGAGGCTTCTCTCTTTGGCTTGTAGATGGCCATCATCTCTGTGCATCTTCATGTGGTTTTCTCTTCATGCCTGTCCGTGTCCTAATCTCTTCTTCTTGTAAGAATACCAGTCATATTGGAGTAGGTCTCACCCATGTGACCTCATTTCACCTTACCTACCTCTTTAAAAGTCCTATCTCCAAAGACAGTCACATTCTGAGGTACTGGGGGTTAGAACTCCACCAAGTGAATTTTGTGGGGACATAATTCAGGCCATGACACTCTAATATCAGTAATGGGCATGAATGTCTTGCTCACTTAGGTCACTGGAACAAATGCCAACTAGTGAGTCCGAGCCACCTCCCTGCCTATCAAGATTTCAAAATAATGTTGGAATTCAGAGCTCAGCCCTCGGTCATCACTTCCCTCCAGCTGCCTTTTGGGTCGTACTAATCTCAGTCAAGCAAAAGAGTATAGATGTTCATATCTCTGTTGATTAAAAACATATAAAAATGAGATAAAAATTCATATCACCAGTAAGTCATATCCTTTGCATGTGGTAGTGAAAAAGACCATACCCAGGACTTGCAAAAATTGACTACCATATTATGTTTCATTTTGATGTTAATCATAGATTAATTTTTTTCATAGATTAATTTTATACACAAAATAATTCAGCAAATAATTCACACAAAATCAAGAGATTTTTTCAATTTGTCAAAGTATTCTTTTCTTCCGTTGTTAAGTAAAAAATCTAGAAGACTTCTGTAGTTTGGGACAATAGGCTAAATCAAAGTGGGAGAAAACAGTTATGATTTTTAAAACCACTAATTGCAGCGTTAAGTGTCTGTCAGTGTTCTGGTGCGTTGGGGTGAAATCTGCTCTGTTCTTATTTTCCTTTGTCAGTGGTGTTCACCATGGCAACTTCAATAAACGTCCCCTCACAAATGTTTTTCTTCTAAAGAGTAAAGCACCTTTTTAAAGAAGAAGGCTGACAACCCAGGAGTGGGTGTTCAGAAAATAAATGAAAAGTATTCTGCTTTCATCATGACTGCTGTGGGTGGCAGGAGGTGAGGAAATCATTGAGGGGACAAGGTTGGGTGAAGAAAACATTTTATCTTGTTTTGGGATAAAAATTAATTTTATTTTTGAAGTAGAAAATGAAGTATGTTAGAGAAACTTTTCCCTTTAATAAAATTTCCTTATTTATGATCTTAAAGTTTGGACAAGCTTTGTTCTTACAAATTCATGGGCCATTCCAGAATATGAATTTTGTATGGGACAGGTTTAATCAAAACCTGATTGAATGAATTCTCCTTGGCTCCAGGTGCGACTTTCTTGGGACTACACTGGAAAATTTTAGTTACGTGGGACTTAGCCACAACATTAAGGGCTCCTTCAAGTTCCTTCCCACAAAATGTGGAGGTGGTAAGAGTCCAGGGGTTTTCAGTCTTGGCTGTATATTTGAATCAACCAGGGATCTTTAGATAATGCCAATGCCAGGGCCCCTACCTAGAGATTAGAGTGCAATTGGACTGGGGTGATACCCAGATGTAGATTTCTTTTTTAAGCACCCAAGGCACTTTAAATGTCTAGCTAGAGTTGGGAAGCACTGTATTCACTGATCTCAAAGGCTGCTTCCAACTCTGCCGTTCTAAGGCACCTACCTACAAATCGAGGCCAGCAGGACTTGATGCTGACAGGAGGGCCAATAAGTACCTCTGCTTTCAGATTTGTTGTGTATCTTTCTACACAGGACTCAGGAAAGAAAGCTATTAAGAAACTTAAAAGCTTTTAAGGAAATTAGCATCTTTATTCCTTTTTATCTCATTCGGTGTTCAGAATAAGCCCAAAAAGACATGTCAGTGTTCCGTGCAGAAGTAATGTTTTCACTACCAAAACACATTGGTTTTCAAATAATTTTATCCCATAAAGTTTGGTTAAAAGACATTCACTGGATTCAATATATTATTTTTTTAATGTGTGTGGAAATGGCCAAGACAAAGCTAACAGTAGGATTGTCAAATGACTATAAAACTCTCTGTTGGCATGGTAGATAACTTTTCTCTTTAGAATAGTGATTCTCATCTTTGGAAATACATTAGAATTATCTGGAAAGGTTTTTAGAAATTTTTATGCCTGGCTATATCCTAGACCAAATCAGAATTGCTAGATCAGGCACCAGTTTTCTAAAAAACTTCCCAGGCAATTTTCTAAAAAAAAACTGTGTCAAGGTTGAGAATTGCTTCTCTAGGATGAAGTTGTGTGGACAAATTGTATTGAGCAACTGGTCAACAGTGAAATGCTGAGTGTGTTAGCCATCACCGTGATTAGAAACAGCACCTTCCTTCCCCTACTGGATAATATTGTCAGAGAGGATTCTTCTTTGGCTAAAATTTCCATACTGAGGGAAGTCTCTTGTTGTTTTAAATGTTCTGAATTATTAGACTGCAACTGTTTCTACTAAAGACGGCAAATGAAATGTTTCCTTCTTAAGTTAATGAATAAAAATCTAGGCCAGTCTTCTCATAGGCCCCTTTGAAGATGATTGAATTCATGGGTAAAAGGAGAATAAAACACAGGAATTTTTTAGCAAATGAATTTGTTAGGTCAAATTACAACTCAAAAAGACTCAATGAAATATGCCTTTTAACACATTAACTGCCATGTGAGTTGTATTTAACTCATGCTAGTTTTGAGTCCGGGGCCTTGTGAAGCAAAACCTGGGCAAAACCCAACAGTTGGTTCATGAAAATCCTACTTGACGTTTTTATTGTTACAATTAATATTGACAAATTCATTCTAAAAACATGAATTAAATGAATAGAAGTCAATACATTTCATTTTTCATTAAATTAGAAAGGATTGTTTTGTTTTAGAAGTTTTTATTCTATTTTCATAAGAAAACATTGTGGCTGCAAGGAAACATTTTTTTCTCCTGTGGCAATCAGTGTGTTAAGTTTCTGGCTTATTGTTTCCCAGAAAGTAAAAACGCATTTCAGCATTACTCCTCTCCACCTAGCTGTAGATTGTGATATTTACTGTAAACTTAAAAAGCCCAAAACCTCAGTACTATAGTATCAAATGTGTGCTTAATTGTCACTCAGAAACTTGGCTCTGGTATCTCCCCAAAGCCTATAAATCATTATCAAACAAGAAAATTAAGTAATTAAGCTCTCTGGCCTGAATCTGATCTACACTTTCTACCTTCAGCATAAAAAGGTATTCACTCGTATGGCTAGTTAAACTTTCTAATAATGAACTTGGATCAGGGAAATGATTTGCTAATGCTTTCACAAACAGAGAGACTAAGGAAACTGATTTCCTCCCAATCACACATGCCAAATCTACTTGTTTTCAGTGGATTAGACAGAAAGCCAAAGCCAACATACATGGAAAAGGATGATAAAAATATTAATAGGAATAAGTTAAAAAAAAAAGTTGCTTTCGTAAATTACATCTGAGCTCTTTTCCTTGAGATGCCTGCAGGGCATGTTGCAAATTCAACAATTTATGGTCAGTTGCCTTTTATCCTTAAAATCACACAAAACAAGCAATTATTTAGAATAAAATAACTGATTTAATATTCACAGACTTGCTAAAGACCTTGAATTAAAATTCAGTCTGGGGTCTGAATTATCACTAACTGAATACAGAAAGAATTGTATATATGTGCACAAATTAGTTTTATTACCATACATAGGTAAAATATATTTGTTTTACTGGATATACTTGTTTTGATGCACCCTTCTTGGGGTTACATTCATTTTTATTAGTTGGCTGGGCATGATACAGGTTGAACGCCTCTCAGTTCCAGGGCCTTGGCAAAATTAACCTCCAGCGGTTTGCCTGTACCTTTGGTGAGTCTCAGGGATCGGATACAACCTCGGAACCGAATGTTGGTGGTCAGGCCAAACTGGTTGAGGCCATCTGAAAAAACAACGCAAGAGGGCTCAGTTTTGAAACGCTGCTGCACTGAATGTTAAGAGCATGTTTCAAAGTCAACTGTTAGTTTGAGATTAAACTGGAATGCTGTCTTAATGTAAAGTTAATGATTGTGTTTTCAGCTTTACTAACAGAACTGTAGAGAAATAATCAACTTTTTAAATAGTTATGTATTATGAAATATGAAAACATGTAGAATGATACCTTTTAAGACATCAAACCATTTGGTTTGGAACGAACAAATTTAGAGTTGGGACTTAAAACTATACAATTTTGTTTCATGAAACAAAACAATTGATCAAATACTTTAAATACTGAGTTAGAACATGGGTTTTTAAAGGTGACTTTATCACTTCCTTACATTGTAAAAATAAATCCCCAAATATGAAGCTGTCTGGAAACTCACATAAACATCTTCCTTTTATTAAGGAGGCCCTTCTTTCAGCAGACCTACTAGGTGCTAACTGGGCTCCCATTTCATCATAGACTGAATGGAGAAGTACATTATCTCCTTCCTAATATATTGGGGTTTATCCTGACTGAAGTAAAAGAAGACCCAGAAGCAAACTTGGAAAGAGGAGCTCTCATTCAGCACCCGTTACTTCTCTATTTTTTGCTCTGTCACCCACTGCTGAATATACATTTCGCTTGTTTTGTTAAGCAGAGGAGCTTTATATAAATGGGGCCAAAATTTCTCTTGACAAAATGATGAAAGATCATTCCAGGAGTCTGTTATTACAGAATTATTAAGAGGTACTTGGCTTACTTCTCATCAAGTTGGCCACTCCTGTTTATGGGCACTTTAGGTAACTCTCTGTGGTTCACATGCGATATTTAATGTGCTGGAGAAGGATTTTGAATGTAGATTTAGTGCTAGGGTTTCTTTGTAATATAAATATAAACTCTATAATAACCTAAGGGGGAAATTAGCTATGTTTAACCCAATGATTTCCAGAACTCGAGGAAATAAGTTCTATAACATTTTATGATTCCTCTGGTATATTAATTTTTTTAAAAAATCAAAAAGAACACCAACTTTGGCTCGAATTGCTGTTAAATGCCTCATATCTTTTATAAGCCAAATTCATTTCCTCTAGGCTCAATCTCTCCATGAATGAAACTTTAGGGGCTATCATGAAAAGTTCAGTCCCATGTGGTTTATATAAGTAATATGCTCATTTTACACACTGGAAATTTTAGGTAAGGTGTTATTTATGGGAGCAGATGCTAAAGCTAGGAAACAAGTACACTTAAGCACACATTCTTGGACATACTTATATAAATAGAAATGTTTTCAAAACCACTAACATACCAGAGCAAAGATATTCATGCTGGGGTAGCCAATACTGACCTGGGAAGCCTCCAACAAACACAGGGTCATTGGTGTCAGCTGAGGATGATGCTGGGTTTGGGCTTTGGGCTTCCACCTGGTTCCCATCTACTGTGAGCTCAACACGATGTTTGATCTTGTTGGCAATGACTTTATGCCATTGTCCATCACACAAATGCCCTGGGATCCCAGCATCATAGACAGCAGTGAATCGGCCGGCGCCATTGTCCACATGAAACATAAGCTAGAAAGTAGGAAAGTGAATGGTCACAGATGGTTTCGTTACTGGGGTATCATAATGGTTCACACAGTAAAAATTATTAGGTCTCTAGGAAAGGCATCGACTAGAATGCTTTGAAGAGAACATCACAGGGGCATATTGAAAAATTTTTAAAAACTTGACATAAATTAAAATACAAATCTAATCACCAGAAGTCACAAATTACGCTCTTTGCTTTTGGGCATTGTTGGGAGTAATAGGCAAGATGTGTGAAGCTAGTAATAATTCTGCTTTCAGGAAAATTTAAGGCCAGGTGACAAGAACCTCTCTGTACACAGGGAAAAATTCTACCACGGATATTTTTAGAGTGTGAGAGTTCTTAGTGAACCTTATAAAATTTTCTTAAAAGATGTTCTTTAAAGTGACTCATTAAAGTGGTTTACAAATTCACTTTAAGTAATTTTTTTTTAAATTTAAACTTTTGATGTTTTAATTGTATTTTTTTTTTTTTTGCCTTTATGGATTTCAAAATTGAGAGTTACATAAATTACTTTTTGGGGCCCGTTTCATGTCGCAGGTGCCAAAGACCTGAACCAGAAGGCCAGTTAAATTCCTAACAATCAAGAATTTAGATTAGAAGTTCTTGTCTAAATGAGAAAAGTCTGTTTTTAGTAATGTGGAAAGGCCCCTGAAATTTGAGATAACCTGAATTCTTTTGAAACTGATGAAGAAAAGAAACATATTGAAACATTAAAACCATTAGTCAATTTGGTAATACATTTGACAAAGTAAACGAAAAGAAATGGGGTTTTTAAAAAGAAAATTAAAAGTGCAAGTAAATAGGTGAAAAGGTTGTAACCTATACAGTGATGTAAATATTAGTGGAGAGTTTACTATACTGGGTGGCGTTTATCATAACAGGATTTTGCATGTAGGAGGAGCTCGGTGAGGAATACACATGACACAGTGACATGTCAATGGTAACTGTGGTTACAAGCGGCTGATACAATGAAGCTTACTTGAACAAGGTATAGTAAAAGTGTGTTTTAAAAATTTGACAGAACTATTAAGTGCTGCTTATTTGTTCATCCTTTTGTGCCTCTAAGCTCGTGGATTTTTTTTCCCCCCTCAACATTGCCTTTGAGGATGGTTTGAGGACTGAGGGGAAGAAGGAAAGAGGCAAGGAAAGGGTATTTTAGGTCACTAAGTGATTTTTCTTCTTGAGAGGCAACAGGACACCAAGGGTGGAAGTATGAACAGAGTTTAAGTATGATTCCTACTTAATAGGCAAAGAGGAAACTTGTGAAATTTCCTGCTTTGTCTTCTCATTTTACCTGCTCCCTGTAGGACAAAGTACATCTAAACAAGTCATCTCACTGCAGGACCAAAAAGGTGTTTGTTTATTTTTGAGACAGTCTCGCTCTGTTGCTTGGGCTAGAGTACAAATAGGTGTTTAGAATTAGATTAACAATTATAAGCAACATGATGCAATACTCTTATAAATTTGCTTTTTTTTTTTTAAATGGTATCTGGATGCTTTTAAATAAAAATTGGGAAGCTGATATGTCAATTGGCTACCTTGACTTCTGAGAGATGCCTACCCTGTCATAAGGGACTGATTGATGTTAGATGATCCAAGCCTCCTCCTTTCCTACCACTGGAATCACTACTTTCAGAGTCTGTGTGTTCATAAAGAGGAAATTAACAGTGTACTTATAGCAACACAGTAAGAGCTTGAGATCTCAAATGATTTGGTCTCTTATTAGTCAACACAATTGGCTTGCTGTCGAATTAACACAGTTAAAGTTGATACTGGTCCGCAGAATAGTTATGCTGAAAATACACACAAATTGAGATAATCCAGAAGGAGGAAAAGATACAACTGGCCTTTGTCCCCACAAAGAATACAGCCAGGCTTCAAAATAGAGTTCTCTACACATCAACAATGTCAGGAAGAAATCAGAACTGTTGGGACTGCTGACACTCACTTTTTCATCAATCATTTCAATACCCATTCCATCCATTTTTTGACTGCTGATTCCCAGAAGAACTCCAGTGGTTCGAGTTGTGCGGAATTCAAATTCTACAAGAAGGTCCAATCCCACTTTGAATCCATCAACTGTAAAATGAAGATTTTTTTTAAGACTGCAGATTAGAATATGGGGATTGTTAATTCAGATTTATACAATGCAATGGTTTTATTAGATTTTAATTCAGATGCTAGTCGCTTATAATTATTGATGAGGGCTGTTAAGTTCCAGACTCCCCATATGGCCTACATTTCCACCATTGTGTCATGTAACACACTCTCTAGTTATTGCTTATTTTCTTGGCTATCTTCCCTCCTAGAATGTAAGTTCTGTGAGGGCAGGGACTTTGTCTATATTGCTCATTGTTTTATCCCTGTGCCTACCAAAGTATCTGGCACAGCATGCAGGTTTAATATATATTTGTTGAATAAATGAATACACACTGAGATTGACTCAAAGAATCTCCCAGCCAGGTACGATTATGTTAGAAGTCTCTCTGTTGGGTTAAGGAAAGCATTTCAGTGATTATTCTGCAAGATTTTGTTGGGACACTCTAAATATTACAATCATCTGAAAGGGTTCAAAAGTTACAAAACATTTTATTAATAAATAGAGGAATTGCAAGTTCAGTTTTGATGGGAAAATTCTGGAACAAAAATAGACTTCTCTAGTTCACCCAATTAATTCTTTTCTCTATGATTTTTCATATTTGGCTTATTGATTAACTTAATCTTTGAGCAAGTATTTCACATCTACCTCTTAGGAACAAGGTGATTTGTCAAGATCAGTCTAGACCACATCAGTTGCATGGAGTGTTAGGGAAATGCTCATGGAAATTTTCCCATGTCTTCTATTTAGTAGGTAAGAAATAAATGCTATGTGTAACTATAACTCTCCAATGAAGGATGGTATTTGTTATGTGAAAGACTTTTTGTTCTCCTGAAAATCTTGATGGGTTTGTATGGGCAAAGGTGGCTTTGTATCAGATTTGAAGAGTAAAGGGTAGCCAGCAGTGGTGGTGAGCATCTATAGTCCCAGCTACTTGGGAGGCTGAGGCAGGAAGATCACTTGAACTCAGGAGTTTGAAACCAGCCTGGGCAACATAGTGAGACCCTGACTCTAAAAAAAAAAAAAAACAAACAAACATTAACAAAAGACAGAAAATAAAGGGTAGAAGAAGCTGAGTTGTTCTGAAAAAATAAAACAGAAAGGGAGAAGTAAGGAGAAGGGAGAAATGACATAAGGAAGTTCAGCTGAGGACAGAGGGAATGAAAAGGCCAATAAAAATGCCAGTGATCAGTGGCCAGAAAGCTTTTACGAACAAAGATGTCAAAGATTAAACAGAAGTATGTTTTCCAGTGAAGCAATCTTCTCTGACCATTCACGTCTCATGTAGATTGCATTGCACTGTGTGTTGAGGGGATGGCAGGAGTTGTTGGAAATTGGGGAAGTGGTTAATTTTCTGATCCAGTTTGATCCAGAACCAAAAGAGCCCAGGCAGGATGGCAGTCAATCCATTAACTGCAGAGTCTGAAGATGAAGCTTGCCATCAGATCTAAGAGAATGCTAGCCATCTGTGAATTTGCAGAAATCTTGGGGAAGCCTTTGGACTTTCACAGCACATGGAATCTGGGGTTCAATATAACCCAAATGTTGCAATATTTAACATATCCTGTGTTTTTCAGCTTTCTGCTTCTACATAGGTGAAGTTTCCTGCCTATACTTTGTTGAAGGGTCCTACTCTTTCACCTCCCACAACTTTTGCATGGGAGCATTCAAATCATCTTCTAAATCCTGGCTCAAATGCCAATTCCTCCACAAAACCTTTCCTGATTTCCCCAACCAAAATTAATCTTTCTTTTAAATATCAACAGAACTTTGCTTATATGTCTTTTGCAGTGTGTAATCATTTTTACTTGCCTTCTTGTGATTTCTGAGCAAACAGAATCTTAACTATTGATCATACATTCTTTTTTTTTTTTTTTTTTGAGACAGAGTCTCACTCTGTTGCCAGGGCTAGAGTGCCGTGGCATCAGCCTAGCTCACAGCAACCTCAAACTCCTGGGCTCAAGCGATCCTCCTGCCTCAGCCTCCCAGGTAGCTGGGACTACAGGCATGCGCCACCATGCCCGGCTAATTTTTTCTATATATATATATTTTTAGTTATCCAGATAATTTCGTTCTATTTTTAGTAGAGACAGGGTCTTGCTCTTGCTCAGGCTGGTCTCGAACTCCTGACCTTGAGCGATCCACCCACCTCAGCCTCCCAGAGTGCTAGGATTACAGACGTGAGCCACCGCGCCCGGCCGATCATACATTCTTAAAGAAAAAAACACATTTTGTTTACTTTTCTTTTTCCTATAATTATCTTCACATATTATGTGCTCATTAATTTCTTTCTAATGAGCAAACACATGTGTTTATAATAACCATAGGACTGGTCCTATCTTCAAGTATATTGTCAGATTTTAAAAATTATTATGCAGAGGTTATTTCTAATTTTACTTTTCAAACTGTACATTCATGATCAGTGATCCAGACCCATATGGGAAATGTTTATCTGGAAGAGAGTGAGGGGAATACTTAAAGAAAGCCAGGAATGGTGTCATTCACCGTTACTACTAACAAGAAATGGTAACCACTGTGAGTGCATGGTGTACGTGCGTGTGTGTGTGTGTTGCTGGGGAGGAGACCAAGAAATGGAGCCTTGCAAGGAATTGAAGATGAAGGAAGGAACATGGTGTATCACTTCTAGAAAGGTAGAAAGAGAAAACTGGAAGGTAGAAAAATTATGTAGCGTAAACCTAAGAGCCTTCTTGCAGAATGACATTTATTTTGCTATTACTGATCTCCAGTGAAGGAGATGGAATAAACTCTCCAAATAGGCTTTTACTTTGTTTCTTCTATTAGTTCTCATCACAATCAGATACATGAATTTTTAAAAGGCATTTTTTAAAAATTACTTCTGTAAGTTCATTTCTGGTTTAAATAAAGGATGCTAGTTTAGGACGCTGGGGACTTTTCCTTTTTTGGTACAAGCAAGAAGTGAACCCTGGTTAATATTCAACAGGAAGGAAATGGAAGAGCCTTACCTGCTTTGGCAAAACCTGTTCCATCAAAATATGTTCCCCTCTGAGCATTTGAAAAACATGTCCCAACATGGAAGCTGGAGGTTGGCTGTTCAAGATCAGCAGGGACCTCTGCCATGTGAAGATTCCTGATGCAGCCATCAATGCTGTAGGTCACCTAAACGTTCAGGTCAGAAAAAAATGGATGCCAAATTTTAGCAGGACTTTGCCTTTATGTGGAATATAATCATTTGGGGGGTACTTTATGCACATAGTCATCAGCTAGTTGTCTTTGGGCATCCCCCAAAGCTGCCTGGGTTCTATACTATCACCAGACTTCCCAGCATGGGTGTGGCAAATCCTGTGTTGTGCCTCTCAATTAGGATATATCTAGCCTGGAATATGATTGTTCCAATATCCTAATTACTGCACGTTATGTCTCCATTGGTTTGACAGGAGCTATGGGCCCTCTATGGGTATTGTAAGTTTTAATTGCTCTCTTACGTCCCTGATTCCACATATCTATTAATAGTTTATTAACCTTACTATATATACATTTTGTCATAATCTGTGTTCAATTTCTATTTGAAAAGGTAATTAGGTTTGGTCAGTGCTTCCTCCCTTTGAAGATCTAATGAAAGCAGTGGATCCTCCCCTAAGAAACTGCACATGCACATAAAACTTGAAAGTCGGTGTGAAACATTTGGGGTTCAAGGAATTCAGAAATAACTCAGTCATATGCTGCTGCATTATATTTTATCTGGCTTTAGGAATTTAACTTAATCACTTTTGCCACTGTCACTTCAGAGACTCTTGTTTTTGATAGACCTAGGAAGCATATCCAATAGCTATGAAAGCAAAGTAATACTAATCATCCACAAGAGAAGCCAAATGCTAAGTATTACAACTATAATCAGCAATTGTCTTTGATGAATGAACAAATCTATGTTATCATGTGTTCTAATTTGAGTATAGAAATGTATCACATTTGTATCTAGTGTGTTCTCTAAAAACATTAATCCCCTGTGCTTCTCAGAATAATGCTTTCCAAAGCAAACCAGGACACATGGTCTGACAAAGAATTATTGATTCAGAACATTGTGAGGACTTTAAATTCTGAATCCAAAATTGGATAACTGTGCTCTAAATACTATCTCTCAATATTTTATAAATCTGTAGTCCTGAAACAACACCATGAATACCATCATTTTCATCTTCCTTGTTGTCCAGTGCATTCTATATGCCTGGTACTCTTTCAAATGCTTTAAATATATAACCTGAATTAATCTTTACAGCAACTTTGTTTGGTATTATCATTACCCTGTTTTGCAAAAGAGAGAACTTTGCCAAAGAAAGATTAATTTGCTCAAGGCACACGGCTAGTCAATAGTTAATCAGGTATTCAAACTGAGGGGTTCTGACTCCAGGGTCTACACTCAGCAGTTTGTGGTATTGCTCTTATAGTCAGATCTGTCTAGAAAACCTTTTGTCACTTCTCAGAAAAGATGATTTCCTATTCATCTATAAGTGATCATGGGCCTATGTGGCCTAATAATTCAAAATACATGAATAAATGACTCGGCCAGATAGATATTTAGGCAACAAAGAAGGAACTGGACACTTACTGGACCAATTCTTCGGGTAGTGTAGTTGATAGGTAACCCACCAACATACAGCATTCCCACAACATCCAGGATATCAGCTTTCTTGGGACTGATGGTTCTGTTGGAGGCATCATCTACATAAAGAATTCCTTCTTGTTTAATTCGCATTATTTTAACCTACAAAAAAGAGGAGGGGTTATTAATGCCAATCTTTTTTTAATTTTTATTTCAACATATTATGGGGGTACAAATGTTTACGTTACGTATATTGCCTTTGGCCCACCCGAGTCAGAGCTTCAGGCATGTCCATTGCCCAGACGGTGAGTACCACACCCATTAGGTGTGAATATACCTATCCCCTCCTCCCCCCACTGCCACCTGCCCGGCACCTGATGAATGTTACTATTATATGTGCACATAAGTGCTGATCGGTTAATATCAATTTGATGGTGAGTACATGTGTGCTTGTTTTTCCATTCTTGTGATACTTCACTTCGTAGAATGGGCTCTAACTCTATCCAGGATAATACAAGAGGTGTTAGATCACCATTGTTTTTTGTGGCTGAGTAGAACTCCATTACATATACCACATGTTATTAATCCACTCGTGTATTGATGGGCACTTGGGCTGTTTCCACATCTTTGAAATTGTGAATTGTGCTGCTATAAACATTTGAGTACAGATGTCTTTTTTATAGAATGTCTTTTGTTCCTTTGGGTAGATGCCCAGTAATGGGATTGCTGGATTAAATGGTAGTTCTACTTGTAGCTCTTTGAGGTATCTCCATATTACTTTCTACAGAGGTTGTACTAGTTTGCAGTCCCACCAGCAGTGTATTAGTGTTCCTACCTCTCCACATCCACGCCAACATTTATTGTTTTGGGACTTTTTGATAAAGGCAATTCTCATGGAAGATAAGTGATATCTCATTGTGGTTTTGATTTGCATTTCCCTGATGATTAGAAATGTTGAGCATTTTTTTCATATGTTTGTTGGCCATTAGTCTATCTTCTTTTGAGAAGTTTCTGTTCATGTCCTTTGCCCACTTTTTGATAGGGTTGTTTGATATTTTTTCTTGCTTATTTTCCTGAGTTCTATGTAGATTCTAGTTATCAGCCCTTTATGGGATGTGTAGCAGGCAAATATTTTCTCTCATTCTGTAGGTTGTCTGTTTGCTCTTGTGATAGTTTCCTCAGCTGTGCAGAAGTTTTTAAATTTGATCAGATCCCATTTATTTATTTTTGTTGCTGCTGTGATTGCCTTTGGGGTCTTCTTCATAAATTCTTTGCCTAGGCCAATGTCTATAAAAATTTTTTCAACATTTTCTTCTAGAATTCTTATAGTTTTATGCCTTAAGTTTAAGTCTGTTATTCAACGTGAGTTGCTTTTTGTGAGAGGTGAAAAGTGAGGATCCTATTTCAGTCTTCTACACGTGGCTATCCAATTTTCCCAGCACCATATATTGAATAAGGATTCTTTTCCCCAGTGTATGTTTCTGTCTGCTTTGTCAAAGATCAGATGGCTATATGAGGATGGTTTTATGTCGGGGTTCTCAGTTCTGTTCCATTGGTCTATGTCTCTGTTCTTGTGCCAGTACCATGCTGTTTTGGTTACTATAGCCTTGTAGTATAGCTTGAAGTCTGGTAAATTGATGTCTCCCAATTTGTTCTTTTTGCTTAAGATTTCTTTTGCTATTTGGGGTCTTCTCTGGTTCCACAGGAAGTATAGAATTATTTTTTTTCTAGATCTGTGAAAAATGATGTTGGTATTTTAATAGGGATTGCGTTGAATCTGTAGATCACTTTGGGTAGTATAGACATTTTAACAATGTTGATTCTGTCAACCCATGAGCATGGTATGGTTTTCCACCTGTTTACGTCCTCTGCTATTTCCTTCCTTAGTGTTTTGTAGTTCACCCTATAGAGGTCTTTTATCTCCTTAGTTAAATATATTCCTAGGTATTTTATTTTCTTTGTTGCTATTGTGAAGGGTACTGAGTCTTTGATTTGGATCTCAGTTTGACTATTGTTGGCATATAGGAATGCTACTGATTTGTGTACATTGATTTTGTAACCTGAGACTTTGCTGAATTTGTTTATCAATTCCAGTAGTCTCCTGGTAGAATCTTTGGGGTTTTCTAGATATAAGATCATATCATCAGTAAAGAGTGATAGTATGACCTCTTCTGCCCCCATTTGGATGCCCTTGATTTCCTTCTCTTGTCTGATTGTTCTGGCTAGGACTTCCAGCACTATGTTGAATAGAAGCAGTGATAAGGGCAACCTTGTCTGGTTCCAGTTCTAAGCAGGAATGCTTTTAATTTTTCCCTGTTTAGTATGATGTTGACTGTGGGTTTGTCATACATGACTTGTATCATTTTTAGGTAAGTCCCATCTATGCCTATTTGTTAAGCATTCTTATCATAAAAGGGTGTTGCATTTTTTCAAATGCTTTTTCTGCATGTATTGAGAGGATCATATGGTCTTTGTTTTTGCTTCTATTTATGTGGTGAATTACATTTATAGATTTGTTATGTTGAACCATCCCTGTATCTCTGGGATGAAGCCCACTTGGTTATGATGGATTATTTTTTTTATTCTGTTTGCTGGGATTTTTTGAGAATTTTTGCGTCTATATTCATAAGGGATATTGGTCTGTAGTTTTCTTTTGTTGTTGCGTCCTTTCCTGGTTTTGGTATCAGGGTGATGTTGGCTTCATAAAACGTGTTGGGGAGGAGTCCTTCCTTCTCAATGTTATGGAATAATTTCTGCAGGATAGGCATCAGTTCTTCTTTGTAGGTCTGGTAAAATTTGGGTGTGAAACCATCTAGTCCAGGACTTTTCTTTTTAGGAAGGTGTTTTATTGCTGCTTCTATTTTGTACTTGATATTAGTCTGTTCAGGAATTCCATTTCTTCTTGATTGAGCCTAGGGAGGCTGTGTGTTTCTAAGAATTTGTCCATTTCCTCCATGTTTTCAAGTTTATGTGCATAGAGGTTTTTATAGTATTCATAGATGATATTTTGTATTTCTATGGTATCAGTTGTAATTTCTCCTTTTTCATTCGTGACGGAGCTTTTAGAGTCCTTTCTTTTCTGTTTCTCATTAATCTAGCAAGAGACATGTCAATTTTATTTGTTCAAAGAACCAACTTTTCATTTTATTAATTTTTGTATAGTTTTTTTGTTACCAGTTTCATTTAGTTCTGCTCTGATCTTTGTTATTTCTTTTTTCCTGATGGGTTTGGGATTGGTTTGCTCATCCTTTTCCAGTTCTTTGAGAGGCTTAATTAGATTTTTGGTTTGTAATCTTTCTGTCTTTTGGATGTAGGCATTTATGGATATAACTTTTCCTCTCAGGACTGCTTTAGCTGTGTCCCACAGATTTTGATAACTTGTGTCTCCTTTATCATTTAGTTCAAAGAATCTTTTGATTTCCATTTTAATTTCTTCCTTAATGCAATAATTGTTCAGCAGAAGGTTGTTTAGTTTCCATGACTTCGTGTAGAGATAAGAGTTTCTGTTGGAGTTGATTTCTAATTTTATTCCACTTTGGTCTGAGAAGATTCATGGTATAATTTTTATTTTTTAAATTTTCTGATACATGTTTTGTGGCCTAGGATATGGTCAATTTTAGAGAATGTCTCATGAGCTGATGAGAAAAACATACATTCAGTGGTTTTGGGGTGGAATGTTCTGTGAATGTCAGTCAGGCCCATTTGTTCTAGAGTTGTGTTTAAGTCCATTGTTTGTTTATTTTCTGTTTGGAGGATATGCCCTGTTCTGTCAGAGGGGTCTTGAAGTCCCCTGCTATTACAGTGT